TATCCCAGAAAGCAAAAACGCTTGCATTTGAACCCGCCATTGCTTTCAGTTTATACTTTCTTTCCTTCGGGGAATCAACTGCAAAAAATATAGGCTCAGAAGCCCCTTTCAGCCTTTCCTGTGCCATGTGTGAATTATAGATGGATCTTTGGTTTGATCTAGAAGAGGGCTTCTTACATTCCTAAAGTGGTTAATGCCAGACCAAACGCAGGGAGGGGAAATTCCTATTCACATTTTAGAGGATGTTCAAAGCAGAGGGTGATTTAAGCCTTAGACATGACAACTACCGTGGATTTCAGTCCGCAAACAAACTTGTTTGAGAAATTTATGATGTTAGATTTGGATTTTACAGGCTGCCTAACCACCATACATTCAAAGCACACACAGAGAGTCACAAAAGGTGTTTGATCTAGCTCTAATCTGGATAGTTTATTCAGTGACTGTGATAGGATTTGGTTTTACGGATGAAGTTGCTTTCTAAACACCTTGGGCCAAAATTAAATGATGCTGCAGGTGCCGGGCGGCCACCGAAAATAGGAGCCCTGTGTCTTATTCTCTCTCCTGCTCTCAGTGGCGTAGCGTGGGGGGTGCAGGGGGGGCCAGCCGCACCGGCCGCAACATCTGGGGTTAGGGCAAATCCACAGGTTAGGGGGCGCAAATCCATGGGTTAGGGGGCGCAAATTACTTGCCTTGCCCCGGGTGCTGACAACCCACGCTACGCCACTGCCTGCTCTTCTTCCCTGGTGCAAAATGTGCTGCATTGTGGTGTCGTGGTCAGAATTCCCCTGCCTCAAAATGCTACATAGAGTGACATGAGGTGAGGAAACCTTGAGGCTGAGGCCCCTGGAAACTGCACACAGCTACCGTTCCCAGCACCCTTAACAAACTACAGCTCCCAGGATTCTTCCTGCCCCCCCAGTAGTGCTTTAAATGTGCATGTGAATCCCTTTGCGACACGGGGAGAATCGTATTCGCCTGCCTTACAGGACTGTGGTAATGATTCTTGAGATCAGTGGTGAGGAACCTGTGGGCCTCCGATGGCTTTCATGCAGTTGGGGGGAGCTGGAAGGAAGAGAAGGAGCGCAGGGAAGCAAAACACACACAAAGCCAAAATGGGTGGAGGAAGGAGGAGGATGGATGGATGGATGGAAATCCCTCTGGGAGCAATCAGTTGAGACCTCTGGCAACAGCAAGCTGTCCTTTCCTGGCAGTTCTCTGGGCAGGGAGGAAGAGAAAGAGGGAGGGAGGGAAGGAAGGAGAGAGAGAGAAGTGGGGAAGCAGGTGGCAGAAAGAGAGAGAGAAAACACAGGCCATGACCATCTTTGCTTCTAGCCTCACTGTTATGTAGCCCTCACCACCACGTTTCCAAGGGATTGTGGCCTTGGAGTGGGGGGGGGGGGAGGTTAACCGCTGTGGTGTTCACGGCTGCCGCCTTGAGTGCTGGAAGGAAAACTGCTCCCTGCCTCAAGGCCCATTTTCACCTGTCCTAGGGGATGGAGCCCAGACTCGCCTTGACAGCTAAAAGGGGCTTCTGGGAGGCTACTGGGACATTGCTGGAACAACTCTTGGGTTCGGGCAACTGGCTAAACTGTTTCAAAATGCTTTAAACGGTTCCAATTCTGGTTCCTCTGTTTCATTTTTGTCAAGTTGGTGTTAGTTAAAAATGTTTAGTTGGGGTTGGAGGTTATTTTAATTTGAAGAAACTGTAAACTGTTTGTTATTGTTGTTGGTTTCTATTGATTTATTGGTTTGTTTGTTACTTGTATAGGATATGTGGTTTTTTAATGTATGATGTTTTGTTGTGTTTTTATATATGTTGTAAGCTGCCCAGAATGGCTGGGGAAACCCAGCCAGATGGGCGGGATATAAAATAAATAAAAATTAAATAAATTCACACTCCCCTTTACAGTGAACTCGCTGCATTTGCAGTGCTGGGTTTTGAACCTGTGTTCACACAGCTCAACATCATCCAAAATATAGTTGCATCCTGTACTACTGTCATAAGAAAACTATTCACACCGGCGAGAGTCCTTTGGCCATTCCTAGCAAAGGTGTGAGGATCCCTGCCCATCAATGCCCCCTGTATACAAACAGACACAAATATGACACTAATGAAGCCATGTTGATTTGAACATCTGAGGAAGGGGTTGGAGGATGAGCTGAGGAACACACTGAAAAGAAACACACAACTTCACCATCCTCTAAGATGGTAATGTGAACTATAGTAAAGGTAAAAGGTAGAAGTTAAAGGCAAGGGACCCCTGGACAGTTAAGTCCAGTCAAAGGCGACTATGGGTTTGTGGCGCTCATCTTGCTTTCAGGCTGAGGGAGCTGACGTTTGTCGACAGACAGCTTTCTGGGTCACCTGGCCAGCATGACGAAACCACTTCTGGTGCAACGGGACACCGTGATAGAAGCCAGAGTGCACAGAAACGCCATTTACCTTCCCACAGCAGTGGTACCTATTTATCTACTTGCACTAGTGTGCTTTTGAACTGCTAGGTTGGCAGGAGCAGGGACCAAGCAACAGGAGCTCACTCCGTCACGGGGATTCGAACCAACAACCTTCTGATTGGCAAGCCCAAGAGACTTAGTGGTTCAGACCACAGCGCCACCTGTGTCCTGAACTCTAGTTTTGCATCACGGCTAAGCACTACTCAATGGCCGGTTTCTTTATAATCCAAAGAAAAATATTCTGATCTGATGTTTTAGATCTGTGAATGTTTTTGAGAACAGGTCCCGAATCCCCTAGTCTACCCTCTGAATGAACTGGCAGAAATACACCAGTCAGCACTTATCTGGATCATGGCAACAAAGAGCAGGATTTTATTTGACCATTTGCAAAGCCTCTCGTTCCTTTTCTTTTTTAAAAAAAAGGTCAAAAGTAGTAATACAAGCAGACAACTGGTATCTAGCAGACAAAAGGAAACGTTGAAATGTAGAGCAATAGCCCATTATGGGTTACAAGCAGCAAGGGACACAACAAATGACACAATTTCTAACCATTGCAACGGACAGACCTTTGCAGGCGCAGTCAAGAAATGTGAGACACGTGAAGCAATTCATGCACTTCTGAGCTATAGGGATTTCTCGTCCTGGGGAAATGGAGACAAGGTGCCAGCCTGAATTACCTCATAGGGTTCACGGATGAAAGTTAACCCTGTGCCATTTGAGTTCTGAACGAACAACAGCAGTACTTAAAAATATGATAAAACCAGGTGTAACTCTTAACTCCAGAAGAACAACTCCAATCCTTTAGCAGCTACTCTTGTATGAAGGGGGTTTACTTGCACTTTCAAATCTCTGGCAAATGAAAAACCCCAAACAAGTCTATTCAAAGTGTTTCAGCACACTCTGTGCCCCAGATATTTCTATCGGGGGTTTCCTCAACAACCCCTTGACCTTCCAGGTAAGTGGAGTCCTGCTCCCCAGTGCTAAGAAGGGTTAATTTCAAATGGCCAAAATAGCAGTGGAGGCTTGGACCGCACATCCATTCTGCACTCACAAATTCTCCATAGAGTTTAAATGCAGGGCTGCCAACCTCCCTGGGCGCCCTAAAGGCATTTCTTTCCCTCTATACACCTCAGTAGGATTTTTGTCATTGATAACTCATCACACAGGAGCCAATCCTCCTTAAACTATTTCTTCCTTACACACAGAAAATCAATCACCAAAGCTGAACCTCATGGAAATAATAATAATAATAATAATAATAATAATAATAATAATAATAATACAGTGGTACCTCGGGTTAAGTACGTAATTTGTTCCGGAGGTCCGTTCTTAACCTGAAACTGTTCTTAACGTGAAGCACCACTTTAGCTAATGGGGCCTCCTGCTGCTGCCGTGCCGCCGGAGCACAATTTCTGTTCTTATCCTGAAGCAAAGTTCTTAACCTGAAGCACTATTTCTGGGTTAGCAGAGTCTGTAACCTGAAGCGTATGTAACCTGAAGCGTATGTAACCTGAGGTACCACTGTAATAACAATAATAATAATAATTTTATTTATAGGCTGGCCATCTGACTGGGTTGTCCCCAACTCTGGGCAGTTCCTAGCCGAATATTAAAAACACAATAAAACACCAAACATGAAAAACTCCCCTATATTCATGTGCTACATCCAAATCAAGAGAAGTCAAACCACATGAGGATGGGGAGAAAATGTAACCCTACAAGTCCACACGCTTCCACATTTTCACGGCTCCAATGGTTTTGAGGCTGAAGGAGAAAAAGCGACAGTGTTTGTGATGAACACATGACACGCTAACACGCCAGTCCTAACCAGGCTTACTCAGAAGTCCTCTCACTCAGTGTGGGATTGCCAATTGCTTGGGACTGCGACCATGCAGTCCGATCCAAACAATGTATACCTACTCAGAAGAGTGACCGAATTGAATCTGGCTTGCTCCCAGGTAAGTGTGGGCAGAATTGCAGCCCTGGGCAGAAATTCTAGGCACATTGGCACCTAAACGACTGGCGGCAGCAAACAAGGCTATGGATCTTAAAGCATATTTCCTGGAAATAGCGAAGCCGGCTGGATTCGGGACCTAGGCTATTCATACATAAAATCAGAAATAGCAACATCTGGATGCAAATGTGATTAGTACCAGGTATTGAACTTTATCTACAGGTGAAGGCTGGTATACAAACAACAACAACAATTTATAAATACGACCCCCATCTGACTGTGTTGCCCCAGCCACTCTGGGCAGCTCCCAACAAAAAAACAATAAAAGCGCAATACAACATCACACACTAAAAACTTCCCTGAATGCTAATAACGATGCTAAGCCTACTCAGGCACAAGTGCCACAGCGAATGGCCTCAACTGTGTCTCCTTATGTAGGAAAGAGCCCCCCTGATCTCTGTGGGACTTCCAGAACAAGCTTTCCCCCGTTTACTTGAAGGAAGCCCCCTGAGAGCAACGAGGCTTATTCCCAAGTAAGGACACGCAGGTTTACAGCCCTGAGTCTGATCTGACACGAACAGCAAAGGGCTACCGGGGGTGCCTTTTCGCGCGCTCCTCTCTCTCCACGCCACCCTTTCCGACAAGCGAAGGAGCTCGCAATGCGCGCAAACCCTCGCGCCGATTCAGCCACCGAAACGGCACCGAGGCGAGCGCGGCTGCAGCGCCGGCATCGCCGTCGTCCTCTTCTTCCGTTCGCCCCTGCTTTGCCCAAAGCCGCCTGCTTTCCACGCCGGGCTTTACTCCAGAAGGATTCTGAAAACTCCGAAGGCGCCCCGAGGATTTCCTGCACTTCCCAAAGGCGAAACCGGGTGCGCCCGGGTGTCGCTTGCTGCCAACTTGGGGTCTGTCTCTTTACGCGCAGCCAGCGAAGCCCCGAGTTGCATGTGGTCCCACCTCTCTCACCCCAACACGGAGGCGCGCTTTCGAACAAAGGGGTTTTCCTCTTCCCTCCCTCCAAATAAAGTTCCTCTCCACGGCTTGTGCAAACCAGACGCGCGCGGGGAGCCCCCAACTTCGCCAGCGGGAGCGATTGCCTCTAGCGCGCGTGTGGAAAGAGTGATCTCTATTAGGATCGATGCTCACCCAAAGCTCTTCCTCCCAGTGGCACCGTAGGCAAGGCGATCGGATGTGCGTCCAACTCTCGGTGGGTTCTTCGTTTCGGAGGCAGCTTTGCCCCCTTCCACACACACACAACACTCCAAAAAGGCAAATGCGAAGCGGAGTCGAAGCGCACAACAAAGGAGTCGATCAGGAGAGGCAGGTACAATCCAAGTTGGGAGATGGGGCGAAGGGAGGCGGCTCTGCTGCGCTCTGCCCTCCGGAGGAGGCGGCTGGGTCTGAGGAGGGACTGGCGAGCGTGGTCCGGTTGTAAGCGATCCGCAGCGCAAAGGAAACATCCCCGTTTCCTGTTACATCAGTCCCAGACCCCGCCCGCCGGGAGGATTGGGTTACTTTCTTGGCAAGCCGAGCGCTGCTCTCTTTCTCTTCCCGGAGACGCGCTCCCGGTACGAGCGCAGGGCTGCTGCTTGTTGCTGCTTTTTCCACCTTCTTTAACCGGCCGTCCTGAAACTTGCCTGCGCGCACCCAGGAACTGAAGTGAGGCGCGGGACAGCTAAAGCTCTCCACCTAAGAGGCATAGAAAACGGGAGTGGCGCAGCAATAAAGCCGCTGGAACGTTTGCAAAGCTAAGCAGGGTCCGGTGTGGTTTCAGATTGGATGGGAAACCTTGTGTGGAGGTGGGGTTGGGCTAGATGACCCTCAGGATCCCTCCCGACACTTTTAACTGTTAGATCACACAGGCTCTCAAGGCAACGAAAGTGGAAAGCTATCATAAATTCCCTTGCAGCCTGCCTTTCTTTGGAGGAGCTCAAGGCAACATGCAGATCCCCACAACAACCCCAGGAGGTAGGCTGCTTAGGCATAGTGATTGTGCATGACCCAAGGTCATCCAGCAAACTTCAGGGGAGAATTGGAACCTGGAGACTCCCTGGCTCTTGCCCGATGCTCAGTCTAAACCACTGCATTGTTCTGCTTCAAGTGGGGCATGGAGGTGCAACAGAGGAGAGGCAGTGTGGTGTAGTTGTTAGAGTGCTAGATTACTGCTGGGGTTCAGAATATGATGTGGAGAGGCCTCTGATTGAATTGCCTGTGATTCTCCACCCTGCCTCAAAAGTAAAAGCAGATGCTGGAAGTCTGTACTGGGCAGGTTACTCATTCCTTTACAGGTTTTCCCAGTCACATCGCACATTTACAGCACATGGATTCCCTCCACCAAGAATCACAGGAGCTGCAATTTGCCTCTCACAGCCAGAACTACAATTCCCAGCTCCCTTAACCAACTATAGTTGCCAGGAAGTCTTAAAATGCCTGGTGTGGATGTGGCTATGCCCAAGCTACCATTTGCGTATACATGCCATGAAACTCACGGAGTGACTTGAGGCACTCAGCATAACCTCTCTCGCAGGGGTAATGTGAAGACAAAGTCATCATGAGGGTCTAGATTGGGTATGTGCTTGAATGGCTATGCTTGTGCGTGCTGTGATGGAGTAAACGCATCATTAAGCAGCACTTCCTTTTATCCAACTGCTGGATAAAGCTACACTTAGTACTCTTGAGTGATTGAGACCAATCACTCAAAGCCCCATTACCTTGAAATTCTGCCCTCACAACAATGCAGGGCCTTTCTAGAACTAAGGTTTCAACAGATGCCCTCAGCATATTTGGAGGGGAGATACCAGAGAATGCCCCCTATGCAGGGCCGGATTTAGGTTTGATGAGGCCCTAAGCCAGGCATAGGCAAACTCGGCCCTCCAGATGTTTTGGGACTACAACTCCCATGATCCCTAGCTAACAGGACCAGTGGTCAGGGATGATGGGAGTTGTAGTCTCAAAACATCTGGAGAGCAGAGTTTGCCTATGCCTGCCCTAAGCTACTGACGGTAATGGGGCCCTTTATATGTCCAGCTGTCCTTTGTCAACAACAAATTGTTGCTGTTTTTTGTGTTGAAAACCTGGGGGGGGGGATCACAGGATCGATGGGGGGAATCCCGCGATCGACCTGTTGGACAGCCCTACTACATGGTAATTTATGGACGTAATAGGTATCTAAAGCCATTTGCACGTAACAAAATATGTATTTTATCAAAGCAATTGTTGTAATTGTTGAACTGAAATACAATTAAGAAGAAGTACATTAATACAGAATTACAATTAAGAAGAAGTATATTAATAGTGAAATAATGATTAAGCTCTAACAGTATGTAGGTTTTATTTTACAGTGGTGCCTCGCAAGACAAAATTAATTTGTTCCGCAAGTTTTGTCGTCTTGCGATTTTTTTCGTCTTGCGAAGCACGGTGTCGGGAAAGTTTTGGAAAAGCTTCAAAAATGACCAAAGTCTTTAAAAACCTCAAAAAAGGCTACCACACTGCATTCTATGAGCTGCTCCTCGAAGTCAAGTCGCAACTGTATTAACGGTGTTAAGAAAAAGGAAACAAACTTGCAAGACGTTTCCGTCTTGCGAAGCAAGCCCATAGGGAAAATCGTCTTGCGAAGCAGCTCAAAAAACAAAAAACCCTTTCGTCTAGCGAGTTTTTTGTCTTGCGAGGCATTCGTCTAGCGAGGTACCACTGTATTTGTTTTTTATCTTATATTTTGGAAATGTACATCCAGGTTTTTTTTCCCTTTAAATTTTTTTGGGGCCCCAAGAGAGTGGGGCCCTAAGCTATAGCTTGCTCAGCTTATACGTAAATCTGGCACTGCCCATATGGCTCACAAATGTATATATGGATGCAATCAGGTGGAGGATATCACAAACTATCTGCTGATTCCCCCCCTGTATGCATCGCCCAGAGGAAAATCTATATTGCCAATTCTTCATTGGCTTCCAGGTCGATCCACACTGGAAGTGAGAGTTCAACTCCTAGCAGATAAACATCTATATACTATACAACAGGTAGCCAAATTTGCGCCGGCGGCCAAGAAGCTCCGTTCCAGCTATGTGAATGCACGCCAATCTTAAGTTTTAATGTTGTAAATTTCTTTTTATGTTATCTGCTACAGGTTACATTATAGGGTTTTAGATTAAAGTTTCCTTTTATTCACTGCCGTCCATTGTAAAGGCTTTTGGTGATATACGATAAAATTGATTGAGTACTCTTAGCCTAACTGACCTCTCTCTCCCTAAAGAGAAAATTTAATCCCTCAAATCCCTAAATACTCACACACATGCTTTGCCGAAATGGTTGAAAATTTACAAGGAACTGAGCAGCAAAGAAAGATTTGACCCCGTCCTCAGATCTGCCTTGGTGTTTTAGGCTGCATAAGTCACCCTCATGGAAGCTAATGAGATTTAGTACCTAGTATACCTATTTGGGTATAGGGACGCAGGTGGTGCTGTGGGTTAAACCACAGAGCCTAGGACTTGCCAATCAGAAGGTCAGCGGTTCGAATCCCCGCGACGGGGTGAGCTCCCATTGCTCGGTCCCTGCTCCTGCCCACCTAGCAGTTCGAAAGCACGTCAAAGTGCAAGTAGATAAATAGGTACCGCTCCAGCGGGAAGGTAAACGACGTTTCCGTGCGCTGCTGTGATTCGCCAGAAGCGGCTTAGTTATGCTGGCCACATGACTCGGAAGCTGTACGCCGGCTCCCTCGGACAATAAAGAGAGATGAGCGCCACAACCCCAGAGTCGGCCACAACTGGACCTAATGGTCTGGAGTTCCTTTACCTCTATACCTATTTAGGATCCCGCACCCCCATAAACACACATAGGATCTGTCTGCCATTGTATCAAACGCACATAAGCCCTCGCAAGCCCAGGGTGGATCTCAGCCTGCCTGCAGATTTGCCTCACGCAGAAGATGTCTCAGCCGTGCAGGGAATCCCCATACCATATCACACCTATTTTTAGCACGCACGGAAAGACCTTTTGGTGGGAGCGTCCCCATGGTTCAGTTGCAGCCCTGAAGCACCTCTTTGGAAATGTGCAAAATTCTTGGCCAAGGAGGCATACCCATGGCATTTGAGTATGCCGGAGCAATCCAATCTGTGCAAATCTCTTGGCAACCTCCAGCTTTCTGCAACTAGTTGCCGCAGGGGCACAGCTTCAGTGCTGCTGTCGTTCTACCTAACCTCTCCCCTGTTCCCCTCCCTGTCATGTCTTTGTCCTCTGGGTCTAGAAACCTGGTAGTGGTGACCCCAACGTTCTGGAACTCAGAGGTGCTGAAAGCTAGACAGAGGCCAGCAAACACCAGCAGATTCCTTCAGGATGAGCTTAAAGAGACCCAGTGCTCTGATGGGCAAGCCCTGCCTCTCTTCACAGGACTATCAGCTCTGCAAAACAATGGACTGGGAAATTTGAACAGTTATTTTATGCCACATTTCTTTTTTTAAAAAAGGAAGATGTTCATAATAATATACAGGGCTGGATTTAGGTTTGATGAGGCCCTAAGCTACTGAAGGTAATGGGCCCCTTTATATGTCCAGCTGTCCTTTGTCAACAATAAATTGCTGCTTTTTTGTGTTGAATATATGCTATATGGTAATTTATGGACCTAATAGGTATCTATTACATAACAAAATATGGATTTTATCATAAAATACATATTTTATGTAGGCACCCTATATATATAGAAATGAGCAAACCAGTGATATTTTAGGGAGCAGGCTAGCAGGCGGGGCCCATGACTTACATCATAGGAGCCTACACAACACAAAACACTGTTGCTGGATGTAGGTTTTATTCTGTTTGTTTTTTATCTTATATTTTGGAAATGTACATCCAGGTTTTTTCCCTTTAAATTTTTTTGGGGGGCCCCCAAGAGAGTAGGGCCCTAAGCTATTGCTTCTTTAGTTCATATGTAAACCCAGCACTGATAATATAGAAGAAAATGATCAGACAACAGCATTGCAAATCCAATAGTTAAAACCAGTTACAAATCAGAGAGTTTTAAAAACCTGAATCAGATGAAAAATGAATATAAGGTAAAATAAAAATAATATGCACCCTATAAGACTTGGATTTTTTATATCT